CAAGCCAGGGTATTTTCAATAGCCTCATATGCATGTGAAGTTGGACAATGAATAAGGCAGAGGATAAAATAATCTATACATTTGAATTATGGTGTTAGAATATAATATTGAAAGTACCATGGAATGCCAGAGAAACCAATCTGTGTTGGAAGAAACACGGCCAGAATGTTCCTTAGGTCAAGATGGCGAGACTTCGTCTCTCCTACTTCTGAGATATTACCAGGAGAGAGCAGTCCCTGGAGAAGGACATCATGCTTGGTAAGTGGAGGGTCAGTGACAAAGAGGAAGACTCCCAATGAGATGATTGGAGCAGTGTCCGCAGCAATGGGCTCAAATGTAACAATTGTGAGAATGGTGCAGGACCAGGCAGGGTTTTGTTTTGTTGTGCAGAGGGTTGCTGTGAGTCAGAGCCGACTTTATAGTACCCAGCAACAGCAAAATGCACATGGGCCTCACATGGACTACATCTGAGGGAAGACACGATGGACACGATCAAGATCATCAGTCAAACCAAGGCCAGGGCCAGACTGTGGGCCAGACCATCAATTGTGCATGTGCAAGTTCAGGCTGAAGCTGAAGAAAGTGAAAACATGTCCATTAGAGCCCACATACAATGTTGAGTATATCTCACTTGAATTTAAAGATCATTTCAAGAACAGATTTGACACATTAGACGACACTCATGACCAGAGAAGTTGTGGAATGACATCATTCGTAAGAAAGCAAAGGTCATTTAAAAAGACAGCAAAGAAAGAAAAGGCCAGAATGGATGTGAGAAGAAACTCTGAAACTTGCTCTTAAATGTGGAGTGACTACAATGAAAGAAATGAAGTAACAGAGCTGAACAGAAAATTCCAAAGGGCAGCACAAGAAGACGAAGTGTCATTAGACAAACACCTGAAGTTAGAAAACCCAAACCAAAGAATACGCTAAGCTTTTTGTTCAAGCAGAAAGAACTGGAGAAAACATGCAAGCCTTGACTTGGCAATGTTGAAGCATTCTGTGGACGAGATGTTGAATGATGCAGAAAGCATCAAAAGAAGATGGAAGGTATACATAGAGTCACTGTGTGAGAAATAATTAGTCAACGTTCAGCCATTTCAGGAGGTAGCGTATGAGCAAGAATGGATGGTACTGAAGCAAGAAGTCCAAGCTACACTGCTGAAGGGAGCAGTGAAAAACATGACTCTAGGGATTGACTGAATACTCTTTGAAATGTTCAACAAACTGATGCAGCAGTTGAAGCACTTCCTCGTGTATGCCAGTAAATTTGGAAAGGACAGTTACCTGGTCAACCAAATGGAAGTTATGTACATTTGTGACAATTCCAAAGAAAGGTGACCCTACAGAATGTGGAAATTATTGAGCAAGTTCATTAATATCACATGCAAGTAAAATTTTGCTGAAGATAAATTTGAAACTGGATGTATCAGTACATCGACAGAGAGCTGCCAGAAATTCAAGCCAGATTCAGAAGAGGACATGGAACAAGGGGATATCATTGCTAACATCAGATGGATCTTGGAAGTAAGAATTCCAGACACTCATTAGAGGTCATGCAGAACATATACACAGAACAAGAGGCAATCATTAGAACAAAAGAATACTGCACAGTTTAAAGTCAGGAAAGGTGTGCACCGAGGTTGTATTCTTTCACCATTCTTATTCAACCTGTATGCTGAGCAGTCACCCAAGAAACTGGATTCTATGAAGAATAAACCTCACATCAGGACTGGAAGAAGACCCATTAACAACCTGTGATATGCAGATGATAGCAAAGAGGATTTAAAAGAGTCACTGAGGAAAATTAAAGACCACTGCATTCAATATGATTACACCTCAATTTAAAGAAATCAAAAATGCTCATTCACTGGACCAATAAATAACATCATGATGAAAGGAGAAAAGATTGAAGTTTCCCAAGACTTCACTTTGCTTGGATCCGCAATCAACACACATGGAAGCAGTAGTCAAGAAATCAAATGAAGTGAAACAATATATAGTTGTTTTCTCATTAGGACAAACCAGTGGGAACCTTTTCACAAAAGAAGAAGGAAAGAAGGGGGTGGGGTGGGGAGAGAGAAAGATTTAGAAATGGTTAGTGGTGATGGTCGTGTACCATGGGGAGTGTACTTGGTGTGGCGGGGTTGTATATGGAAAAATGATTAAAAGTTGAAAGGGCAAATGCTTCATTGTATACATATTGCTACAATAAAAAAATAATGATGACGTTATCATTGCATTAGGCAAATCTGCAATTTAAAGTGTAAAAGAGCAAAGATGTCAGTTTGTGGACAAAGATGCGCTTCACCCAAGCCATGGTATTTTCAGTAGTCTCATATACATGTGAAAGCTGGAAGATGAATCGGGAGGACTGGAGAAAACTTGATATATTTGAATTGTGGGGCTAATGTAGAAATGTGGTTGTTGGCAAAGAATATTGGAAATGTCATGGACTGTTAGAATAACAAATAGATCTATCTTGGAAGGAATATAATCAAAATGCTTCTTGGAAGCCAGATGGCCAAAGTTGGTCTTTTCATACTTTGAGTGTGTTATCAGGAGGGGGACCGGTCCCTAGAGAAGGACATTATGCTTGGTAAGTGGAAGGTCAGTGAAAAAGAGGAAGAGCCCCAGTGAGATGGATTGACATCATGGCGGCAACGATGGGCTCAAACGCAAGACCTGTGAGGGTGGTGCAGGACCGGGCCGTGTTTGAGCATAGTGTCGTTATGAGTAGGAGCTGACTTGGCAACAACTATTTTCCTCATTTACAAGTAGAAAATTGGAATCTAGAGAGCTTAACTGACTTGTGATTCTGGAACTGTGCCCCACTGTGTTGTATAGAAAGCACACCTATCTTATGTAAAAACTGCCTGAATGCATTTATTGTTATCGTCAAAGAGTTCTGTGTGACCAGTAAGACTCACTACTACTATGTATGTTAAATCTCTCCTTTTTGATCCCAACATCTGTTTCTTTTTTTTTAAGTCACAGTCTTTCCTTATGTCACAAACTGTACAACTGCAACAAAGTCAAGAACAAAACAAAGGTTTACCACTCTTGTTGGCTGCTGTGGCATTTGTCAGGGAGTTAGCCCTATGGCACTGATTCGGGTTGTTCATTTCTCTGGGGATGGGGGAGAACCTCTAACAAATGATTTGTTTGGGACCTGGGTTATGAGTAACCAGAGTCTTCTTCTTCTTCATCTCCAGGTCTGTGGGTTCTAGGGTGCCACAACTCAGACCTTCGGAACAGAGGTATGACAGCCTTATTGAAGGTGTCTAGTTGTGACAGGAACATATATGATTATGATGACATATATGAAGAGATTCCATATAACTTGTTGAATGAAAATAGTGTCATTGGACCCAGAGCGTTTTCCTGGAATTCAAGGCACCCTAGCCCTAGACAAAAGCAATTCAAGACCACCACAGCTCCAGAAAATGACATAGAGATGATGGACCCTTGGTTTGGAGAGACAACACCGCTTTCTAAAGCACAAAGTGATGTGTTGAGGGTCTTGGGACAGAGCCCTACTCCACATGGATTATCCTTATCTGATCTCCAAGAAGCGAACTCTGAGCCGACTTCGGAAAGTAAGGGCGATCCATCCAAAGTGGCCGACAGCAGGCCAGAGCACCAGCAAAGCTTAGGCGTCCAATTAAGACTAAATGAACATTTGGAACCAATTGTACCAGGAAACTTGAAAAAAAAGGATTTAAACGTTTCTAGTTCATCAAATAATGTGATGACTTCACCAACAAGTTTATCAAACTTTCCAGCAGGCACTGAAAAAGCAGATTCTTTTGGGCCCCTGAGTCCACCAGACACCATTCTGTTAGGCAAAAAGTCATCTCCCCCTACTGGGTCTGGTGTACCTTTGCACGTGAGTGAAAAAGATGAAGATTCCACATTGTTAGAAGAAATTTTAGCAAGCGGTCAAGACAGTTCACTGGGAACAAAGACACCACCAATGGAGAGTGCTAGGTCGTTTAGTGAGAGGAACGCTCATGGACATGCTTTAGTAACCAAAGCTAATATCTCTTGGGTAAAGACAGACAAAGCAGCCTATCATTCAACAACTACTGGACAGACTGCCAGTGGTGGCCCAGCAGTATTAAATGAGAATAGTACATCAGGCTGGCAAGACATAGTCGAAAATGATACTGACTTTCAAGAAGTAACTCCTTTGACCCATAATGAAATGTTTACAGAAAAAAAGACTGCAGCTTTGGGGATAAATCGTGTATCAAATAAAAGTACTTCGTCCAAAGATGTGGAAATGGTCCACCCAAAGATAGAGGACCCTGTGTTACTAGATTCAGAAAACCCAGACTCGGCAAACTGGGTCAAAAGGACCCAGGGAAAGAGCTCCCTGAGCTCAGAGAATGGGCCTAGTTCAAAACAACTCAGATCCTTGGGCGCAGGACATTCGGTGAAAAATCCAAAGTTCTTGTCAGAGAAAAGCAGGGGGTCAGTAGAAGAGGATGAAGTTACAAAAGACCCAGGATTCAAAGAGCTGATTTCTCCAAACAGCAGGAGCATATTTCTGAATTTGGCTAATGCACAAGAAAATGATACCCAAAATCAAGAAACAAAAAATCAGGAAAAGATAGAAAGGAAGGCAATGTTAAATCAAGGGAATGTGGGGTTTCCTCCGCCATTTCTTGTCACTGGCACTAAGAACTTCCTGAAGACACTCTTCTCACTGAGCACTAGACACGATGTTCCTGTAAAAGATTTCAACGAGGGAACATATGCTTCAGTACTTGAAGACAACAGGTCATTGAATGATTCCGCAAGTCCATCAGGGCTTCACAAAGTCCACTTCTCAAGAAGGGAGGAAGCACATTCGGAAGGCTTGAGAAATGACACAAAGCAAACAGTAGAGAAATATCCGAGCCCCACAGGGATGTCTTTCGATCTAAATCAGCCGAATGGTATCACTCAACATAGTCAGCGGGCTTTGAGACAGTTTAGAACCCCCCTAGAAGAAATAGACCTTGAAAGGGGGCTAACTGTAAATGATACCTTAACCCAGCAATCAAGAAACGTAAAGTATTTAAACCAGGACACCCCCACAAAGATAGACTACGATGAAAAAGGGAAAATAGCCATAACCCAGTCTCCTTTGTCAAATTGTTCTCTAGGAAGTCATGTCATCACCCAAACAAATGGCTCTGTATTACTCACTGCAAAGACAGCAACATTTCCATCAGTTCAAGCTACTGATCTGACCAGGATACCATCCCAAGACAACTCTTCTAATCTATCATCAGCCTGTAATTATACTTCTAGGGAGAAGAGTTCTGCTGTCCAAGAAAGTAGTCTTTTATTACAAGGAGCCAAAAGAAAGAACTTTTCTTCAGTCACCCCAACTTTGGATCTGACCAGAGGTCAAGAAAGGGTCATCTCCCTAAATGCCACAGACCCACTCATGAACGAGAAACTTGAGAACACTGTTCTCTTGAAACCAGGCTTACCTGAAGCATCTGGAAAAGTTGAATTGCTTCCTATCATTCATCATGAAGACCCATTCCCTACAGAAACTAGCAATGGACACCTGGATCTCATAGGAGAGAGTCGTCTTCAGAAACCACAGGGAGCTGCTAAATCGAGTGCAGGAAATGGACCTGGAAGTATGCCCTTTCAGAAACGGGCAGAAGAAAGCCCTGAAAAGATTCCCTCCAAGATGCTCAGTCCCTCTGCTTGGGATAGCCAATATGCTACCCATATATCAAGAGAAGAGTGGCAATCCCAAGATATATCACCAAAAATCACAGCTTTTACTGCAACAGACACCATTTCCCCTCCAACCCCTTGTAGAAGCAACCATGCAGCAGCAACAAAAGGTGAGGGACAAGGTAGGCTTCAGACAGAAGCCACTTGGACAAAACAAGAGGAGGCTGGAAGGTTAGGCACTGAAAACCAACCAGTCTTGAAACACCACCATCTAAGGGAAAAAACCCTTACTGCTTTGCAGCAAGAACAAGAAAACCTAGACTATGACGATGTCCTCTCAACTGAAATGGAGAGGGAAGATTTTGACATTTATGGTGAGGATGAAAATCAAGGGCTCCGCAGCTTTCAAAAGAAAACACGACACTATTTTATTGCTGCAGTGGAACACTTCTGGGATTATGGGATGAGTAAATCTCCCCATGCTCTAAGAAACAGGTATGGGTCAGTCCAGTGGTTATTTATTTATCCCACTGTAGTAACCTGTGACTTTACTAGGTGCTGAAACACTAGAAAAGGCACACCCAATCCGCAGGAGTGAAACTCCAAAGATAGGATTATAGGAGAACCCTGAAAATCAGGTAGCAGAATCTAGGGGAAGTTATAAGATAACAGCATCAATGAGAAGTGAAGGATTGTGAAAGCAGATAGCATAAACGTCTTACTCTGGATGGATGAAGAAGGAGAAGGGGTTTGTAAGGAGGAGTTCTGGTCAAGAAGGGACCCCCCTCACTAGGAATAAGACGTCTTATTCTCACGAGGCAGCCCTGAGAAAGGCTGAGGATGTAGGGATGTTGATTTTCGTGGTACAGGGGGTTTAGAGGGTAAAGTGGGAGGGTGTGATTGTTTATGGAGCACAGGGAGGTTGAGACATGAGACGGACAGCACAGAATGATGCTAGTCAGAAGCCAGGGTAGAAAGAGCAGGGGTGCTACTTGAAGTGGGTAGTCAGAGAAATCTTCTCTGTGAAATTGAGAGCCTAAAGCATACCATGAGATAAATGTTTCCAGGCAAAGGAAATAGCAAATGCAAAGGCCCTGAGACTACAACTAGCTTAGCATGTTTGCAGAATACAAAAAGGACTGGCATGTCTGGAGTCGAGCGAAGAAGTTGTGGGAGATGAGGACGTAGTCAGGTGCAGAGGCCAGAGAATACAAGACCTGCAGGAAGCGTAGGTGCTTCTTCATGACTGGTTGCCACTTTCCAATCTCGTTCTCTACCTAAGAGATGTAACCAGATTGCAGTTCCCTGTTCCACCGACTCCCCCACTCTCCTGAATGACCTCTATTTTACATCTTCTCCTTTTCCCTTAAGTCTCCAACACCTCTGAAGTCTCCAGCATCATTGTCACTCTAGGCTGATGCCATGCCATGAACTTGTCAGCATCTCTACCCATATACTCTGCCTATACACTTGTGACGATATACTGACTGACTGTCCCCCTAACTAAGGTCAGTCTCTCCAGTTGTTCAATTGATCTCATTCCTTTTATCCTCATAAAAAAATGTTGCTCCAGCAATTTCTCCTACTTTATCAATGTCTTCCTTCCCCCTGGATCAATCCCATCAACATCATTCATGCTATTAGCTCTCTGATCTTAAAATGAAAAGTTTGCCTTGACCTCCCTTCCCCTCAAGCTGATGCTCCCATTTTCACCCTTAACATAACATCCAATGAGTTGTACTAGTTGCCATAGAGACTGGTAGACTGCAGTCTGTGCCTCTCCCATTCCACAAACACTATAGTTTTCAAGGTCACTGCTGATCTTTACATTCTTTGTTCTCACTCCTCATTTTAGTTGGGCTTTTACTAGTATTTCGTAATTGATTCCGACACACACACAATCCAGCTACTTATTGTCTATCTTCTCCAAGTAGATGATAACCTCATTAGGGGCATGGACTTTGAACAGTGCTAGTACCTAGTAGATGTTCAGATGAATATCTGTTGAATGAATTAGTAAATGATGGCTGTAGGGAGACAAGAACAATCTTCCTCCATGGATGTCCAAACTCCAGAGAGCCTTATTCACATGAAGTTTGTCAAACAGCACCCCTGGGCAAGAATGGAGACAGGAAGACCAGTAAAGAGGCTGCTGTGATCCTCCAGGGGGGTGGTGGTAAGAATGGGAGGACATAGGATATAATTTGAAGATAAATAGACAGGGATTGCTATTACATTGAATATGAAAGGAATAAGGAAAGAGAACTGGAAGGTTTTAAATTTTAGTCCTGAGAAAATAGGTGGATGATGATGTCATTTACTTAGATATAGAAAGCTTGATATTAAACATAATTCTTTGAGGAAAAAATATAGGGTCTCATTTGTACATATTTAGTTTGATCTGCCTGTGAGACATTCCATTGGAAATGCTGAGTTTTCATAAGCATATAGATGGAGTTCTGGAGTGGCGCTGTGGGTTAAGGCGCTGGATTGCAAGGTCGGTTTGAACCACAAGGTCAATAGTTCAAGCTCACCAGCCACTCTTTGGAAACCCTATACAAGATTGCTATGAGTCGGAAGCGACTCAACAGCATTTAATAACAACAAAGTGTATAGACAGCATTCAATGAAACGGGATGGAATTATTAATTACTAAGGGAGTAAATATAGATGTAAACAGCCCCCCCCCCCGACTTTCAGCTGGGTCCCCAAAGGGCTACATCCTCAGGGTAGTGCAACATGTAGAGATTTTTTTCATTGAAAAATACAAAAATAAGAGACTATGGCCAACTGTATTTTCCAAAGATGGTTGTGCCAATACATCCTGCCCAACATGTTCTTGTACAATGTGACTCATTTATGACCAACAGGATGTGACAGAAATGTGTGACCTATATATATGCTGAGTGACGCTGTGTGATTCCTGAGGCGGGATCAGAAAATGCCATGCAGTTTTTATAGCTGGTTCTTTTAGGATGTGCCCTCTGGGAGAGGCCAACATGGCTCTGCCGACACCTTGATTTCGGTCTTACAACATCCAGAACTGTCAGAGAATAAGTTTCTGTTGTTTTGAATTATTAATGTGGTAGCTTGCTATGGCAGGTAATACTTCTGTTCCTTGTGGTCACTGAGCGCTACTTAACTGATAAATGGGCTTGTATGGAGGGTCTAAAATGCCTTCGTTCATGTTCATGCCTGTACCTTGGCAGAAAAGGGTAGAAGGCTGGGCTCAGCTGGTATTCTTGACCAGAGAGCTGACACATAACCTCTCCAGAACAGAGGTCTCAGGTGTTGACAGGCCCAGTCTCCCGCTGGAAAGTTGTGCCAAGGAGCGCCCCACCCCCACCCCCCGTCCCCCATCAAGACAATGTTCTATCTTGCCCCTACTCTCTGTTCTATCTTGCCCCTACTTCTCATCGATTCTTTAGGATAAATGGTGACTGGTCTCATGGAGACATTGTCTCTTCTACGTGCCAGTCTGTTATTTCTGAGCACCTACCATGTGCCAGGTATTATTTCAAGTTCTAGGAAAACAGCAGTGGGCAAACGAGACAAAACCAAACAACAATGACAACAAAAAGCCTCTTGCTTTCATTACACAGCCTAGAAAGAGTGTTTCGTGGATGATGGAGTGACTAACATATCAAACACTGCTTAGGTATAGAAAAAGACAAGTTGTCTGCATGTCTAACACTGTTATACCCCAAACCACCTCCTCTTCTAGAGGTCCCATCTCAGTGAATTGCATCTTTGATTCCTGTCTTCCTTCCCTGTTCATTCCCCTTCCAGTCCATCACAAGCTACCAAAGGCAGCTCAAATCCAAGGAAGGCAAGGATGGCCCACTACCATACTACTTACTTTCTGCTTTTTGTCTCCAGGGCTCAGAGTGGTGGTAGTGTCCCTCGATTCAAGAAGGTCGTTTTCCAGGAATTTACTGATGGCTCCTTTACTCAACCTTTATACCGTGGAGAACTAAATGAGCACTTGGGACTCTTGGGGCCGTATATAAGAGCAGAAGTTGAAGACAATATCATGGTGAGTTGGGCACAATGAAATGAGAAAATTAATCCTACTTATGAGGGTAAGTCAAAAAGTATTGCTATGCAACTGGTGTCTAAAAAGCTTGTGAGCAGCCATGTAAGGTGCAACTGTTCGTCTCTCCCCATCTGGAGCAAAGAAGACTGAAGAAAATCCAAGGCATGGGAAAACAATTAGTCCAATGGACCACACGCACTCCAGCTTTCATGCACCCCTCGGACCCAAAGAACTACATGGCTACCACCAACAGCTGCTCTAAAAGGAATCACAGAGAAGGTCCTGGATAGAGAGTGAGTGAAAAAGGCAGAACAAAACTAGAAATCATAAAAAATAAATTGAAATCATTTCAAAAAGGGATTGCAATCATTGAGATGAAACGAAGTGTAGCACTTGTTAAATGTAAAACCGATAGCTTGCCTGTAAACCCCGCTCAATTCACCATACAAACTCCAAAAGAAAAACAAGTCTTTTTGAAATGATCATCCTTAAGATATAGGTATCAGCTCCTAGAGTTATTGAGTCTTAAAAGCCCTGTGGTGATATTTTACCTTTTACTTTGAAATTGTAAGCATTTAAGAATTTTTCTCCTTAGTAACTTTTAGTTCATTGCTTAATGAGTATAGACTTCTAAAATTCTCATTTGTTCTGTAGATCATTTGGTTTGTATTGTAACAAAGTACACCCCCTATACCTCTGAGATAAAGCACTGACTACATGGTTGGCTTGAACCACAAGGTCAGTGGTTCAAGCTCACCAGCTGCTCCTTGGAAACCCTATACACAGTTGCTATGAGTTGGAATCGACTCAACAGTAGTTAACAACAACAACATACCTCTTACTCCATAAGCTGAGGACTAAGATCCTAAAATAAGATTCTTGGTTAATTTTTCTTTCCCCCCCTTTTTTTTTTTTTTTGCTCTGCAGGTCACTTTCAAAAACCAAGCGTCTCGTCCTTACTCCTTTTATTCTAGCCTTATTTCTTATGAGGAAGATCAGAGGCAAGGAACAGAACCTAGAAAAAATGTAGTGAAGCCTAATGAAATAAAAACTTACTTTTGGAAAGTGCAGCATCACATGGCACCCACAGAAGATGAGTTTGACTGTAAAGCCTGGGCTTACTTCTCTGACGTTGATCTGGTAAGCAGGTCTCCACTGTGCTGACCACTTTGTGGGGGAAAAAGAAATGGTCTCTGTGTAATCTGCTAAGCATTTTGGCATTTATCCCAAGAGTAATGTGAAGCTTTAAATATGGGAGGTGACAGCATCTTTGTGTGTTAGAAATACCACTCTATAATCTTTTGAAGATGATGAATATATTTTTATTATTAATAGATCTTTTATTAAGATGATGAATAGTGCAGTGGAAAATAAGGGGGCAATTGGAGCGGCCGAAAGGTGGATAAGAAATCAACTCTGGTTCATAAATGAGAGAGGTCTTTAGTCATAGGTTTGACATTTTCCCTCCCCAGGAAAAAGATCTGCACTCAGGCTTGATTGGCCCCCTTCTGATCTGCCACACAAACACGCTGAGCCCTGCTCATGGGAGACAGCTGACCGTTCAGGAGTTTGCTCTGTTTTTCACTATCTTTGATGAGACGAAGAGCTGGTACTTTACTGAAAACATGGAAAGGAACTGCAAGGCTCCCTGCAACATTCAGATGGAGGACCCCAGTTTGAAAAAGAACCTTCGCTTCCATGGTAACACGTCCCACACCTGAATATCACACGCAGTCAAGTGCGACATGTACAATGTCAAATGAACCCTGAGCCAAAGGCTTGAGCAATATACGACTCAAGCACATCTGTGTGGGAGTAGAGCCCTCAGGAGCATGGCGTGTCCACAGCAAGTTTTCATAGCCTTCTCTGTGTTCTCTTTCTCTAGCAATCAATGGCTATGTGATGGATACATTACCTGGCTTAGTAATGGCTCAGGATCAAAGGGTCCGGTGGTACCTGCTCAGCATGGGTAGCAATGAAAATGTCCATTCTATTCATTTCAGTGGACACGTGTTCACTGTACGGAAAAAAGAGGAGTATAAGATGGCAGTCCAGAGCCTCTATCCAGGTAGGAGCTGGTGTGTGCTCTTGCTTCTGTCTGCGTATTGCGTGCTTTTAATGTGGGGTCCAGGCTCTGCTCTAGGCTCTAGGGACCAAAGCACACAAACTCTCTGCTCTGGTAACATTCTGGTTCAAGTAACTTTAACCTACAGAGAGGTAGGAAATCCGTTAACAACATGCTCTAAAGGAAATCCAGCAGAATCAATGCAGAGCTTTCATTTTCCATCTCCAATTCCACATGGCATCCGTGTACTGATTACGCAGGAACCCTGGGTGTTGTGAAGTGCTATCGAGTCAGTTCCAAACCATAACGACCCTGTCTAGGGTTTCCAAGGAGCGGCTGGTGAGCTTGAACTGCTGGCCTTGCAGTTCAAACCGACTCTCTAGTCTAGCACATGAACTCATAACGCCCCACTAGTGGATTCCAAGCTTAAATCTACCAGGCCCTCTACAGTACACAGGTGAGGCTTTCTGCTCCTGTAAAGGTTGACAGCCTCGGAAAGCCTGTACAGGGCCACTCGGAGTTGGAAATGACTCCACGGCACACTACCACCACCATAATTGATTAAGCACAACTTTCCATGGTTTTCAAAAAACACAAGCATAAGAAATGGTTTGGTAGCGGGGACAAACGTCCCCTGTTTGGAAGTCAGAGTTCTGGTAAGCTCTGTGGTTTCTCTGCTCACTCTGAAGTCAGAAATGGCAGTGGCTACTCCACGATAGGACTTGTAAGGCACAGTGTCCAAGTCCACTGTTTCTCTGTCCTGTGTCTCCTGTGATGGAGAGAGAAAGTGGAAGTGGGTGTGACAAATCTTCTAACTGGTATTCCCATTGGCTGCCCCGAGCAGATACTTAAAGCTGGCCTGGCCTATGGGATGCTCTTTCATGAACTCCCCTTGACCTACTTGGATTCAGATTTGGTTTAGATGATCACATGTCACTCATTCTTCAGACCTCCAGTATTCATTCACCTCGAGTTTCTTGTGACTGGATTTACTGTACCCTTCTAGTCACCTCTAGTGGACTAAACCCAAGAGGACTTCACTCTGACTGCTTGCTCCCAAGGAGCCCATAGCTGCTCAATGTTTTGCTTTGAAAAATCCTAATGCAGTGACATTCTCCTCTCTCCACCACCAAAGCATCTGGCACCCTGTGTCTCCTTTCACAGGGAGGATGAGGATCCAAACTCAATCTTCCTTCATTGCCTACAACCACAGGACTCATGTAGCAAGCACTTTTCAGTTTAAGTGCATCAGACTTTGAGTGATCTCTTTTGATATTCAGCGGATCACATACACATTTTTTAGTGAAAAGAAATAATTGGTCCTTTTGTTTTGACAAGGCGTGTTTGAAACCGTGGAGATGCTGCCCTCCAAAGCTGGCATTTGGCGGGTGGAATGCCTTATTGGTGAGCACCTACAGGCTGGAATGAGTACTCTTTTCCTGGTATACAACAAGGGTGAGTAGCTTCTGCACAGCTTCCCAAATTGAGAATGGATATTGCTGGGTGACATCATAACAGTCCTCAGAGGAGGAAAGATACTGAAAACTTTTAAACACTTGGAATCCAAAGCTCTAAATATTTGATAAATCAGTGCTAAAGGGAGAAGATCTGGGGACTTAATCTGACTCCGTAACCAAAGATGGCTTACACGTTTAGGGATGTAGCCTTCAACAAGTAAGAGAATCGCTGGGCTACCTAGATATGAGCCCTAGTTTCCTGAGCTGCAAAATGTGAATCATTGTAGAAAACTTTGTTGTTTGAGGGAATTAAATGAGATAGTGCAATAAAATAGTACAGTTCTTGACTTCTGGTGGTAGTTGGTGGTTGTGTGCTGTGGAGTCGAATCTGACTCATAGTGACCCTGTATAGGGTTTCTGAGACTTCAGTCTTGACAGGAGCAGAAAGCCCACGGAGAAGTTGGTGGATCCTAACTGCTGAGCTGGACACAACTCACTACGCTACCACAGCTCCTTTCTGGACACATGTTGTCCATTTTCCCTGAAGGTGACTTTTCTGTCCTCCCAGCGACTGTGTTTCCCCTTTTTGATTTCAGAGTGTCAGACTCCCCTGGGAATGGCTTCAGGACGCATTAGAGATTCTCAGATTACAGCTTCAGGACAATATGGTAAATACTAAGTTTCCTTCCCAGAACCGGGCCTGGGGAGATCTTTTTATTTCTGTTAGCGAGATTCCCATCACCAATCCATCTTGACGACTGTATTAACTTTAGTCCGTCTCATCTCCATTTCCCAGCGGGACCATTTTAAGTCCGGCCGTGGTCATCTCATCCGGCCAGTGCCACTCTCTCCATGAATGGCCTCCCTGCTTTTGGCATTGCTCCTCTTCAATTTGTCCTTTTCACTGGGGCAGAAATGGTATCTCTAAGGCACATATCACATCATTTCACTTTGGGCTTAAGCCATCTTAGTAGTTTCCTGTGACCTCCTGTCACTGACTGAACCCACTCTAGATCTCCGTTCTCATCTCTGAACGGTCACGGCTCGCTGCACCCGATCCTCCTGACAGTGCCACGTCATTTCAGGACTCTGCTTTCACACATGCTCACTCCCCCTTCAACACTGTTCTGTTTTGTTAACTCTGCCACATCCTTCAAGACTCCGTTTTCTAGCCTCAGCTCCTTAATGAAGTCTTTCCTAACTCTCCCCATACAGAAAGGCAGAATCGTTGTCTCTTGTATGTTTCTATACTTTGAGCTTCTTGAGCATAGGGGGCTTCTGAGGAATTGCTCAGCTCCTAGAACCTTGCAAAGACAAGGTGCTCAGTGTATTCTGTTTAAGGAATACATGGTGACTTTATCACTTCCCCAAGATAATTCCATGTTTTACACAGTGTTAGAAGACAAGAACCACTACCACATTACAAAAAGAATATTAGAGGCTGACAAAGCTTGAAGAAGATCTATAGAGGCTTCTCAAATGTTGCTTTAGAGCAGGGGTTGGCCTATCACAGTCCATGAGCCAAATCCAGCTTGCCACCTGGTTTTTGTATGGCCCACAAGCCAAGAATGGTTTGTAACAGTTTTAACTGATTCAGGAAAATAAGAATGAGAATATTTCCTGACATGTTGAAATTACATGAAATTCACATTTCAGTGTGCATAGGAGGTGTTATTGGAACACAGCCACACACATTTGCTTCTATGATAACTTTGATGATGTACTGTCTAGCCTTTTAGGAAAAGTTCGTCAGCCCCTGTTTTAAAAGGGAAAACATTTCCTTAAAAAAAAAAAAAAAAAAAGACTGGAAGGCTATATACTGAAATGGTAACTTGTTTTTCTAGGTAGAAGGATTTTGTTTACTCAAAATTTTGTATTTTTGATTTGTATTTTTACTTATTTTTATTTTACATTTTTGGATTTTTTACGATGAACATATTTTGTATGATTTGTTAATACTGTTACCAAATTGCAGTATCAGCTAATTAGAATTACTTCTTGTTGTGACGTGTCATCGAGTCAGTTCTGACTCAAAACAACCCTATATAGGGTTTCCAAGGAATGGCTATTAGGTGGTTTTGAACTTCAGACCTTTTGGTTAGCAGTCCAGTGCTTATCCAACAGAACCACACCGGAACTAAAAATGATTAAATTAATAATTATTAAATGTTAGACAAGTTCCAGCTGAACTTCCAGATGAAGACTGACTAGGAAGAAGGAGAGAAGGACTTCTCCTAATATGTAGTCACTGAAAACCTTATGCATAGCAGTGGAACACTGTCAGCCACAGAATATTGAAACATGAGGAAGAGCGTCAGAATATTGTCAGGTATTGTGCCAGAAGATGAGCCCCTCAGGATGGAAGGCACTCAAAATATGACTAAGGAAGAGCTGCCTTCTCAAAGTAGAGTTGACCGTGATGATGCAAATGGAGTGAAATCTTCAGGACCTTTATTTGCTGATATGGCACAGCTCAAAATGAAGAGACATAGCTGTAAGCATCCATTAATAATCAGAACATGGAATGTACAAAATATGAGTCTAGGAAAATTGGAAATTGTCAAAAATGAAATGGAAAGCATAAACATCGATATTCTAGACATTAGTGAACTAAAATGAACTGTGATTGGCCATTTTGAATCTGACAATCACATGGTTTACTGTGCTGGGAATGACAAATTGAAGCAGAAAGGCATTGCGTTCATCATCAAAAAGAACATATCAAGATCTGTGTTGAAGTACAACGCTGTCTGTGATAGGATAATATCCATACGCCTACGGGGAAGACCAGTTAATACCACTATTAACTCCAATGTACTCACTAACCACTAAAGCCAGTGATGATGAAATTGAAGAATTCACCCAACTTCTTCAGTCTGAAATTGATGAAGCATGCAATCAAGATGCATTGATAATTACTGGTGATTGGAATGCAAACATTGGAAACAAAGAGGAAAGATCAGTAGTTAGAAAATATAGCCTTGGTAATAGAAATGATGTTAGAGATCACATGATAGAAACTTTCAAGACCATTGACTTCTTAATTACAAATTTCTTTTTAAAACAACATAAAAGATGACTATACACATGGACCTCGCCAGATGAAATAGTTAGAAATCAAGCTGACTATATCTGTGGAAAGAGATGGTGAAATAACATCAATATCATCAACCAAAACCAGGCCAACAGCAGACTGGAACACACCAACAATTGCTCAAATGCAAGTTCAGACTGAAGTTGAAGAAAATGAAAAGAAATGCACAAGAGCCAAAATATGATGTTGGACATATCCTACTTGGATTTAAAGATCATCTGAAGAACAGATTTGATATATTAGACACTAAAGACTGAAGACCAGAAGAGTTGTAGGATGACATCAAGAACATCATACAGGTAGAAAGCAAAAGGTCATTGAGAAGACAAGAAAGAAGGAAAAGGCCAAAATGATGTCAGAAGAGACTCTGAAACTTGTTCTCCAGTGTAGAGACGCTAATGCAAATGGGAGATGTGAGGAGGTCAAAAAGCTGAACAGAAAATTTCAAAGGTCATCTCAAGAAGACAAAGTCAAATATTATAATGAAATATGCAAAGACCTGGAGTTAGAAAACCAAAAGAAGTGATGCATTGGAGTTATAGTGTTGGAGGAGAATATTGAAAGTGCCATGAACTGCCAAAAGAACAGATCTGTATTGGAAGAAGTGCATCCAAAATGCTCCCTGGGTGCTAGGATGGCCAGTCTTCGTCTCTCATACTTCAGACATATTATCAGGAGGGACCAGTCCTTGGAGAAGAATATCATATTTGGTAAAGTGGAGGTTGTAGATAAAAAGGAAGACTCCCAACGAGATGGATTGGCACAGTGGTGGCAGCAATGGATTCAGGCGTGGCAACAATTGTGAGGTTGGCCCAGGACCAGGCAGTGTTTTCTTCTGTTGTGCATAGGGTCATTATGAGTCCGTACTGACTCGATGGCACCTAACAACAACAACAACAACAACAAATGTTAGACAATAGAATGGACGACATGGATGATCAAAACCCTTCATTAGTAATATATAAAGAACCTTGGAATCTTTTGGAGCATAGTGGCTCCACAAGATAACCACTGGACTGCAAACCACAAGGTCCGTTCTTTGAGTCCACCATTTGCTCCGCTGAAACTGACTCGACGGCACCTAACAATAACAATGGAATCTTTATACCTTTCTCTGTTTTCTCCACTACTAGGATTAGTTTTTCTTAAGAGAATAATTTCGTTCCAAAGTGTCTAGGACCAACCCAGCTGAATCTAATCTCTCTCTCTCTCTCTCTTTCCTTGGGCAAAGGACAGTGGGCCCCAAAGCTGGCCAGACTTCATTATACTGGATCAGTCAATGCCTGGAGTACCAAGGATCCCTTTTCCTGGATCAAGGTTAGAGAAACTAATCACATTCATTCACATCACTTCTTTTTCTTACAAGCTCATCCTGGATATAACAGGCTACAACTCAGGAGACAGGATACAGTTAGTTAATCAAGATAACCTCCAACCCAGACAGCGCTCAGTATCTTTTCAGCTATGCCAGCCCTTGTCTTGGTCTCTGTCCTGCTTGGGCAAGTGTCCTGGCTTTTTTAACTCTGCCAGCAAGCCTCCTTCCCAAAGGTGCTCAGCTCTTTCTCTGTGTGGGTCGGCCAGGCCACCACTCCATCAGCCACCATTCTGTGTATCTGTTACCACTTGTCACCATCTTTAGTGTGATAGCTTTCTCTTCTGGGTCTAGACGCTTCACAGCACATGAACAGTGGGTCCAAAAGCCACGCTCCATTCCAGACACTTGTTGATGGTAGCGATGTTCCCCTCAACCTATATGGCATGGCCTTCCCTGCCAAACCACACATTGACCACTCTCCCCTCTGTAGAACACAAGTCATTCAATTTGCACAGTAATTGACCAGTCCCTTGCAAGACTGGCCTAGCCCATCATTTTTGGCAGAATGATAAACATAAGATCTGAGAAGCCATATACAGGAGAAACCCATTGTACTGTATTTGGTAATCATCTATTAACTATCATTTTTTGCTTACAGTAACTGAACCAGTTACAAATCCACCTAATGATATTATCATCTTTTCCTGGAGGTGATTTTTGCCAGGTGTTTTCCTAAAGTCTGTATACAGTACGCATACTACATTTCCCTGATCTGGTAACTATAAAACAAATGATTCCAGGGATCCAGCAGGCAGGACAGTGGATTTGGGAGTGCTGGAAGGGAACGGAGTTGTGGTAGGCATCTACTCTGGATGAGAAGACCACCGACATATGAGCACTGGGCTAGTTTGTGGGGTATCAAGTGGTCAAGCCTGGGGAAACAGCACTGAGCAGTGCACACCATGTGACTTATCACCACTTTGCTTAGTTCCTGGATACATAGGTGAAGATGTTACATCTGAACAGCTCCAAGATGTCAAATCTGACATCGACAAAAGACAACATGAAGATGAAATCGATCAAATCATTACTTTGCCAAACCCCCATCCTTCTGGACTGTAGGGTAGCAAGGCTTTATTCAAATTGCTAGAAGGTTCAATCGTCAGTGGGCCAGAAAAGATGCGTAAGCACCATGAAGAAACAGTCCACTTACAGCCAATGACACGAACCAAAGCACGTGTGAACTGTGTAATGGGACACTGGTTTGCTCTGTGAAATTTCATGCACTTCACAAGAAAATGTTCAAGTAAAAGAAACTAGGCAAGTTAATTCCACAAAAATATGATTTTTGTATTGGATGCTTTCAAGAGGAAACCTGAAGTTTCTTCAATTAGCTGCTCAACGCCTTCTTCTCTGTTTCCTGTTACCCCAATTCCCTTTCTGCTGTGCTTAGATCCATCTATGAGGAAGAGTGAAACACACACACCAGGGGACTTAAAAAAGTTCATGGGAAAAATTCCAGTATCTTTTAATCCTATTTCCCCACAAACTTTTTGAAGCCCCTAGATGTATCTGAGCACTGTGGCTCTGTAGGATAAGCGTTGGACTAGAGAACCACAAGGTCAGTGGTTCAAGCCCACT